GGCTCATCCCAAAGGGCATAAACAAACTTACACTCTTTCACTTCATTAAATTTTAAGGCTTCTATGTATATTTTAGAAAGATACTTTTTTTTTTTAAGATTTTATTATTTATTTGGCAGAGAGACACAGTGAGAGAAGGGAACACAAGCAGGGGGAGTGGGAGAGGGAGAAGCAGGCTTCCCGCTGAGCAGGGAGCCCGATGAGGGGCTCCATCCAGGACCCTGGGATCATGACCTGAGCCGAAGGCAGATGCTTAACGACTGAGCCACCCAGGCACCCTAGAAAGATACTTTCATCTTAGATTTGAAAATGGCCAAAAATAATCTGCTGGTGGAAAAAAAATAAAGTTTCAGTAGAGAACTAGAAATTAATCATTCTTTCAGTCATTCAACTAATGTTTTATTACTGATAATAAAGTGTTTATAAGTGATACGCTGGTTACATTTTTAAGCATTAATCCTTCATACAAGAACCCACTGATACATAGCCCTAAGCAAGCTATGCTTGCTATGTGGTATAGTTAGTCCCATGTAGATTTAGACTTATGCCACAGAAGCAGAAGAGAGAAAAGTGAATTTAAGACCATAGTTTAAAAAAGGAGTATGACTTGTAATATACTCTTTGGTTTAAAAACAAATTCTCATTCAAATGCCTAGGATTAACCACAAACTAGAGGTCAAAACAGAGTGGTATAGTCAGCCTAGCATTTAAAAATAACAAAACAAAACATTACTGCTAGTTAATCATTACTTTCAAATGGTACATTTTCCCACATTTAAGCTTATACAAATTTCCTCCACTTAACAACATCAGCAATTTTGCATCATTAAAAAATAACTGGTAAATAATTTTGTAAATAACAACAAAATATTCTAATCTCTTAAAATTAGATCAATATTTTAATTGTAATACTTTTTCCCAGTTAATTTTACAGTGCCAGGAAATCTACAAAATATTTCTCAAATGGTGTTTGTTCTCAGGAATACACAATAAAAAGGCATCTCTGTTCTTTGTTACAAGGTGCATAATGGCAGGGGAAGAATGCATGAAATAGAACAATCTACCTTGGGAGCTAATTAGGACAGTCAGCACTTTAAAACTAGGATATTGAATTAATTCCATAATCTAAAGATTTGGGCTACCAAATACGTAAACAAACATATATGTATATTTATGCACATGGTATCATCTGAAAGTCAGAATACTAAACTTAAGAATAAATGTTTGAGAGTGTAAAATTTTAATACTATAAATTCAAAGACAGCAAAATGCTTTTTTAAAGATTTCTAGATCTTTTTTTATGTTATTCTCACTCACCAGCAACACACAGCTTTGAGGCCCAGGAAAGGGAAACGAAGATCTCTCCCCAAATGTCAAAATGGACTTACACAAAAGGCTAGGACCTCATTGTCTACCAGTCTATGACTCTCACATGCAGCATATATGTCTTTATCAAGGAATTCAGATGCACTCAATTACTACATTCTTAAAATCCCTGACTGTGAAATTATGTAGGAAAGAAAACAAAAATATACCATTTATTTTACAGGTGTTTGATTTAGGAAAAGTCAAAGACAAGAGACAAAACAAAACAAGAGATTGGAATCTCTGGCAGCACTGTATTGACCTTTAAGCAGCACTCTCCATGGGCAAATCATTCAGCAATGTGTAACCGGGGCTCCACATGTCCCTCTACTCTAGAGGAAAATAAGAGAGGGCAAAATGAGGATGCGACACCAATAAGCTCAAGAAGTCCCACTCTGAAGATTTCTGGTATGAAACTCACAACTTTCTGGGGGGTGGAGGGGCACTTTGCTCTGCTGTTGCCTCACTGAATAATTAAACACAGAATCTGCCCAGGGACATTGTCTTCTACAGCTTTTTTCACCATATTTTTCCCAGTAAAGTAAAACTGAGTGTGCAGAGAACAGAATAGATGTCTTTGGATTCCCAACAAGAATCAAGCATTTGCCTGCCCAAGGCCTCTCAAATCTACTAGCTGCACACCAATCACAGAAAGCTGCAAATCAGGCCAAGGGCTGCCGCTAAGCTTTCTAGGTTTCCTGGTCAAACGCAAAAGAAAAATAAAGTTGGGGGTGGCAAGTAGGTGGTTGTCCAGAGGGTTGGTGCAAAGTTTCAAAACTAGTAAAAATCTAACCTTCCATAAAAATTTAAGAAGTCAACCTGAAAGTCCAGCTTTCACTTGGCGCTTTAAGGGTGGGGTGGGGGGGTCACCGCCTTGTCCTTATTTCTAAGGAACCCAGTGGAGCTTCTCTCATTTCCAGGGATTGGGGGGGGGGGCGAGGGCGGGCATGCATTTTTTCTGTTTGTGAAGGTGATGAATGAATATGTGATCCTAAGTTTCCCAAGGGTGGTTTATTTCCTTTGAGTTAATAAAATTAAATCAAGTCCCCTGTGATAGAGAGGATAGGATTCTCCTGATAGTAGACCAAGACCTCTAGACATTTCTCAAACCTCCACACGCATCGTGTCCAGACACAGCGTCTGGCGGAACTGGGACTCTGCCGCCCCTAACCAGCGCCCTTTTTCCTCGGCTCCAGGCGCTGCCAAGCCAGGATTTTGGTCCCAGTTGCCTGAGAGCTCCAAACACGCAGAAGCCAACGTGCCCTCTCCTCTAATATTTGCAGAACTATTATCCAAGAAATAGGATATTCCCATTTCCTGGATAGGGCACGTAGACTTGGAAATTTAACACGACTTTGCTCACAAAAACTAAGGGTAAGAAGCCAGCTTTCCCCGAATTCGCAGCCTTCAAACAGTTTAGCAAAAGGGCAGAGAGGCTCAGTCCCGTGAGGTACCCGCAACTTCTCACCTCAGGCGGCTAGGTGCGGGTGTTGGGGTCCTCTCTGGGCTCTGGGGCTGTAGGGTCTCCCAGACTTGGGGCTTCTTCCGCGCAGGAGAGCGTGAGGCCATTCTGCTAGGGGGAGCCGGCAGGGAAGACATACTGAGCAAGGGGATCCTTTCCTTCCCCGCCAGAGGTGCCGGGAACACAGCCTTGCCAGGTTCCGCTTCACCCCTGCCCGATCCCCGTGGCCCGCCGGGTTTTCTACACTGCGTTTTTGGGGCACTTGCATGCGCTGTTTCTCACTAAAAGTTGTTCCTCCAGCGAATTCGGAAATCTCCCCAGGCTAGAGATTTGTGCTTTGACATTACCCTCACCGCCCTATTTTGCCCCTGCCTTGTCACATTTCAAAAAAAAAGAAAAAAGAAAAAAAAAAAAGCTCTTAAAAAAGAAAGCCTCTCCGTGAAGGCGGCTGGCAATCTCACAGAAATGATGTAAATGGTTGCAGGGCTCCCCCGCCAACCTCAGCTTTTTTACTATTATTATTATTTTTTTATTTTTTTAGTGAACTGTGAGGATCTGTGAAAATAATATCAGGGTTTTCTGTCAGAATGAGCTTTGCCCTGCACTCAAGCGTAGCATAATCTGACCCGACACCTCCAACCATCTGTGCTATCTATCTGCCTTCTGATTTACCAGAGCTGTACAAGCCGCATACAAATTGTACTTGATACTAAAGAAAAGACGGCCGGCCCAGTCCAGTTCGGTGGTGAACATTCTTATCTGATTCGTTTAGGGATGGACCTCCAAAAATGGTTTTCCAGTCATTTTTGTTGGATGCCCCTTTCCCAATTATTTTCTTCAGACTAAACAAGCCCCTTTGATAAGGCCAGGTGAGATCATGGTTTCTTTTGATAGAGACCACAGAAAATGGTATGATGTGGATATCAATTGGGAATCAATAAAAATTGCCAATTCAGTCTGCTGGCCTTAAGGCAGAGCTGCCAAGAAGGCCCTTCCTCTCTGCAGGAGGGGTGAGTGCTCAGTGGCTTAGAAAGTGCTTTCTGCCCCTCTTCCCATTGCTGTGGTTCCCCCTTCTCTATTTTACTGGTACAGAGTTTCTTTGGGACAAAAAGGCCAAGGTTAGAGTTTCTATCCCCGGCGCAAGTTACATGTTCTAACACAGAGTAGGGCAAAATCAGCCTGCAAGAAGAGCAAATCAATATTTTAAAAAGATCTCTGAAATAAGCTTTTAAGTTGCTGTCCTGACCTACCAGTGACTTCTCACTCTAGATGTGGCTATGCTGCACATTTGTTCAAGTCCATTAAACTGGGGGGTGGGGGGGAGACTGAAAAGTATAAACTTTTGGGGAGCACAACGCCCCTTTTCCTGAGTGTTTAACTTCATGGTCAACACCTGTGTTATCAGGTGTGAGATTTGTTCTAGCCCGTATTTAAAATGATTTCAGGAGGCTTTTGAAGGTGTTGGGGATAGCCCAAACTGACCTCTTAAGAGATCCCTGGTCCTGTTCCTTCTGCTTCAGATTCGCTTCCCACTCGGCTGCTTTGGCAGCTGGAAAAGGGGGAAAGGCGTGCAGGGATGGGTGCTGAGGAAAAAATGAGGTGATCTACTTCCCTCCCTCCCCATTCCTGCACTCCCCCCAAAGTTTTCTGTTTCGTTACAATTAAATCTGGCGAACTCTCCGAGGATTTCGATTTGGCCCAGTCCTCATTGTCCTCTGGAGACCTCTTGACCCAGGCAGCGCATCACTCCAAAGTGGATTCCTGTAGCACTACTGCCTCTTTTGGCGGGGAGTGGGGGGAGATTGGGGGGCTGGGGGTGGAGGAACAAGGCTGGGGGAGGGTGTTGAAACGCTGCTGTTCTTGCCTTTTTCTCCTAGCCACTCTCCAGTCTTTTCCTCCTCCACATTCTGCAAAATACTGAGGAAAAGTCCACGGGTGAACGGCGGGCGCTGTCGAGAGCTGGGAGGTGCTGAAAGGACCCGGGCGCCCTGGTCGCAGTCTTGATTGGCAGAGCGGGCCGGTGACTGACAGGGGGTCTCCATGGCGCCCGCGCCGCCAATCCGCCCATTCCAGTAGCGGCGCCAGTTCGCCGGCCTGCGTGCCCTAACGAAGCCGAGCCGAACCTGGGCGGCGGGGCCCGCACCTCCTCCAATCCCTCCCGCTCTCTCGTTCCCAGCCGTTGCGCCGCCGCAGCTGCCCGGGCTGTGCGTCCCGGCTGCCCTAAGCCGCTTCACGGAGGAGAGCCTGGCGCACCCGGCCAGGCCCGCGGGCATCTGCTGTGTGTCCGGCTCCGTGCTCAGCGCCCCCATTGCAGTTGGCGCTGCCTCGATGTTCCAGCTGCCCATCTTGAATTTCAGTCCCCAGCAAGTGGCCGGGGTATGCGAGACTCTGGAGGAGAGCGGCGACGTAGAGCGCCTGGGTCGCTTCCTCTGGTCGCTGCCCGTGGCCCCTGCGGCCTGCGAGGCCCTCAACAAGAATGAATCGGTGCTGCGCGCGCGAGCCATCGTGGCCTTTCACGGTGGCAACTACCGCGAGCTCTACCATATCCTGGAAAACCACAAGTTCACTAAGGAGTCGCACGCCAAGCTGCAGGCGCTGTGGCTCGAAGCGCATTACCAGGAGGCTGAGAAGCTGCGTGGACGGCCCCTGGGGCCGGTGGACAAGTACCGTGTAAGGAAGAAGTTCCCGCTGCCGCGCACCATTTGGGACGGCGAACAGAAGACACACTGTTTCAAGGAGCGCACGCGGCATCTGCTACGGGAATGGTACCTGCAGGACCCATACCCCAACCCCAGCAAAAAGCGTGAGCTCGCCCAGGCAACCGGACTGACCCCTACGCAGGTGGGCAACTGGTTCAAAAACCGCCGACAAAGGGACAGGGCGGCTGCAGCCAAGAACAGGTCAGTACCTAGAGGCCTACGCGCCTTGCGCTCTCCCGGGTAGGGCAGGCGAAGGCACCCCGGGCGCCCTTACCCAAGACCCGGCGACTTGGATCCACAGGACCTGAGAGCTCAGTCTGTCTCCAGTTATGAGCCCACCGTGTTCTGGGATCCTGGGCGGGGAGGAGGGGGACGGTTTCCTTCCGGACTCTAGGTTCCCCATACTCTTTCTCTCGTTCTCAGTGCCTGGGGGTCGCTCCACCAGCTAGTTCCAGTCGCCAAACCAAGGCTGCATTGGGAAGGGGAAAGAAATAAAAATTAAAATCCCAGCAACAATTAGGGACCCCAAGGCCCAAAGCTAATTCTTGTCAGCCAGGGCCCAGGCTCCTATTATTAAGTGAAGCCTGGCTTATTAGCAAAATGTGGCATTAGCGTTGCCATTTTAAAAGCCCAGATAAATTCTTCTCTAATGCTTTGAAAAGAGTTTTCAATGGACTTCTGGATGATAGTCGAGTTCTTCTCTTTTCACGCGTGTACAACCCTGCCTCAAAACAGCAAACTAGTCAGCTGAGGCTTTTCGGTCCGCAGCGTGTGGATCTAAATTAGCCAAACATTTTGGCCAAGAAACCCCGCCTCATCCCCCAGGCCCAAACGTTCCGTGTAATCCTCAGGCAGCCCTTTTTGCTTTTAGCTTTGCTCTGACCCGGCCTTGAGGGCACTAACACGAGCGTGCGCCCAGAAAAGATGCACGCTGGGAAGGGGGTTCCCTATCCAGGAGCTTGATACGTCCTTGTCACCCACACCTCATTTATTTTGACAGTATTGTAAATCTCCCAAAGGCGGCCAACAATCGCGAACGACCCTGTGAGCCTAGCGTCTCGGATGGGGAGCCGAGAAAGGATTCAGAAGGATGAGACAACTGCAGGGCTACTTGGAGAGGCGGCCGCGGACTCCGGCCCTGGCCTCTGTTGCCTCACTTTTCCCACTTTAACTGCCCGGGTCTGTGGAAGATCCGCTGGCCGCTGAGCTTAATGGATGCAGACGGGGGGTGGGGGTGGGGGTCGCAATGGGCGGCTATGTTACGCTCCGTGACTGGTATCCCCTTCCTTCCCGTAGACTCCAGCAGCAGGTCATGTCGCAGGGCTCCGGACGGGCTCTAAGGGCTGAGGAAGAGGGCACGCCCGAGGTGCTGGGCGCCGCCGCCAGCCCGGCCGCCAGCCTATCCAGCAAGGCAGCCACTTCGGCCATCTCCATCACGTCCAGCGACAGCGAGTGCGACATCTGAACTGCTCATCCAGCACGCTCAGAAACAGAATCCAGTGTAAAAACAAGACAAAATGAAATAGGATCAGAGACCAAGCAAACCCACTGCTTGCGAAACCGGGTGGCCAGGGACCCGCGGGCTCCGGTTGCCCATTTCCGCCCCGCGGCCGGCCTGGCTCCACTGGCGCCCTAGGGCCGCTATCACAGGGGTCCGCGGTGAGGCCCAACCCAGCGCTACATTCTCCTTGCTTTGCTTTTTTCCAAGAATTTTGCTGCAAAGATGCCTCCGGAACCTGAACTGCATGCTGAGCGCCTGCCCTAAATCTCCCGTGGGTATTTCACGTCGAAAGGACGCTGTTATATAAATTTTCCTTTAAAGGTTTTTTAAAACAAAACAAAACAAAACATATATATGCTGTTTATTTACTTATTTAAGAGACTGCCCTGGTAGGTTTCTCTATATCTTGGGAACTTGCTGTTTCTAAAGCCGCAGGATGCAGCAGATGGGTTCGGTGTGAAGAAGCCAACAATAAAAACCTGGTGAGCAACCTTTCTTAATTAAGTGAGCTGCTCTCATTCCTTAAAAAAAAAAAAAAAAAAAGATACTCTTCACCAGGTAAGCAGGAGCCCTTGTGCAAATAGTCTCAGGAGACTCTTCTCTTATCTTTTGCTTTCTCTGATGTCTCCTGATATATTTTTTAAATGGTTCATGGTAGATCCATAACCACCTGCTCAAAAAATTATATGTATGTATATACGTGTGTGTATGATATATTTAAACTGAGAAACTGGCATCCCCTGTAAGGCAACTCCACACATCCCCAAGCACAGGTTACTATGGCTTGTCCACCTGACACTCACTTTTATGAAGTGTCAATGGCTTTCAGGAACAATTTAAGAAGCCAAACTCTGGGACTAAGTCATGAGTCCTATTTTATAAAAATGCAAGTCTATTCTGATGCAGGCTCTGCAATTACAAAAGTTTTCCATCTCCTTTCAGGACCCCTACCATACAAAAGCAATAGGCACCCATGATCATGCTAGAGTGAATATATACTATGTTTAGGATTGAACTCATATTAAAATAAAACAAAAGATAGGTTTTAATAACTAAACTAACATCTTCTTGATGCAGAAGCAGGTTTTAATCAAACACATTTTTCCACAAAAGGGATACTTAGATGAAGGAAAGGATGTAATCATGTGACATACTGAAGTGAAGCAGAAAGATGCACAGAAATGACTGGCATTTTTAAAGTCTGATCTCTGTATTAACACATGAAATAAGTCACCTAGAGCTTCATTGTCCTGTAATGGCCTCAATTAAAACTATCAAATATTCTTAGGATTTAATTTGTCCTCACAAAGTGTGTAGGTACATGCAGGCACATACACACCAAAACAAAAAAAAAACCCCACTGTCCTGTACTAAAAAAGTAAATGTTATCCAGAGTCTCTAAGCTTTTTTCCTAGTGAAATGGGTTATATATTATAAAATTGGACATTGATCTTTAAATCACTTAAGCTGAACTTCCCTCTTTGAGCTCCTCCTGCCACACACACACACACACACACTGGACTCTTTTCCATTTACCTATCTGTCCTTAGTAGATGTCCTTTGGTTCAGAAGCCTGTTAACTTATTTTCATAGAAGTGCCAATGTGCAAAAAAAAAAAAAAAAAAAAGTGAAGTCATGGACGACAAAAAGCAGTCAAATGGCAAGATATATGAGAGAAGCCCAAGATATGAATAAGGGTTATTTTTGATTTCTAAATCACTTAAACAGATTTGGCCTCAATTGGGTTTTATAAATTGTTGTCACTATATAGAGGGGCCCTTATCCAGAGAACTATTGACAATCAAAACTCTCCTACACAAGAGCTCTAGATGGAAGGAGTGGGGATGTCTTTGTGATCAAGCTGGTGTTCTTCAGAAAAGCAAGCAAATGCCCTTCCGTCGGTCCAGAAAGGCTAGGATGGTAGAGCTTCCTGAAAACTCTTATTTTGTTTCCTAGAACACCTCCCCCCTCCCCCAACATCTAGTTCCTTGAATGCCAAGGAGCTGGGCCAGGACTCCTATGAGGCAAGGGAGGCACCCAGAGTACAAAATTAAGGAGGCATTCACTCTCAATGTCAGCAAGTACACAAGTGCAAGGTATCTGAGAATGAGTGCCTCCTTAAATTTTGCACTGTAGTAGGTGTTTCCCTTGCCTTACCCTAGTCCTGAATATGCTAAGAAGTATTGCACTTCAAGGAAAAATGAAGAGATTTCCAGTCTTGTTCACCAGACCCACCTGGTACTAAGGAGCTATCCAAACCAGCATTTGGAGAAGACAGCAAATTTTATCTCTTAAGCTGATGTTTCCAGGTCCAAGAAGGAAGGGAAAGAACTAATTAGTAGAATGATGTAATGGCAGTTGAGATTCTAAAAATCCCACTCACCAGTTCAAATGATGCCTAAAAGCAGAAGAAAATGTCCATTCTGCATTCTCAAGAAAAAAGGGTTATACTGCTAAGAACTAACCTTTTCTCTTTGCAAACAATTTTTAAATAACCCTTACGGCTTGGCAAAAAAAGAGAAGACGGAACAGTTCCAGAGGACTTTTCTTCCTGCTTTGGTGAAAGCCTTTAAAGTACATTTTCCTTTAAAGTACATCTAATTTGCTTAAAGTAACATGTTGCCTAAGGATTACATTATAAAGTAGGTGTTCTGTTTCACCAATCTGTAGGTTTATTTATCTGATTTTACTTTAGAATCTTAAGGGAGGGGTGACATATTATTTTAAAGAATTTTTAAAATGTTTATCTGAAACCGGTGGCACCTAATTGCTCTTGTGAGTAATCAATTCTTTGATAATCACATGTTGGAAATTGGTCCAAATCTTCACACAGATATTTATGTTAATTGGTCCAAATCTTCCCTTGGGCAGGTATCGTAAAAGTTTTCGTTTCCTTTTTACGATTTTTTTTCTGTATCAGTTTTATCCTGGTCTAGAAAGGTTTTTTTTGTTTTTAATTCCAGGTAGTAGCAATGCTGAAGGTTTCTGAATGTGGAGAAATCTCCATATGATGGGTTTCCTTTCTGTCTTCTCTTGAAATTTATTTCCTTGTAACAATTTCCCAAAAAGCAGTTACTCCAGCAGAGTGGAAAGAAGCTGCCTTTTAACAATTCAACGGATCTTACCAATGTGCGGATTTCACCACCAGCCCCAGCTCAGGCTTCTTTACTGGTTATAAATGTTTCAACCACCCGCCAGTTCCACCAAAAGCGCGATGGCTCCCGCTCCCCAAATGCCGCAGTTCCTCGCTCCTCCACTTTAATGACCCACTCCGCTTCCACCCGCCGCGCCCGCCCCGCCCCCCTCTCCCCTCTCCAGTTTGTTTATAAAAATCCGGGAGGGAGGGGATGAGAGGCTGGGGCGGGGGGAGGACTTGCTCTTTGTTTACATTAAACAAATGACAGGCAAAGAGCTCAATCAAAATCTTTCTTGACCTCGTTCTCTCTCCCTAATTTTAACAAAAAGGAAAAAAATATTGTATCCAAAGAGAACGTGAATGGGGCGGGAGGAGAAGAGAAGCAGCTTTTCGCTCTATTCAGCCGGGACGCGGGAGCGCGGACGATTTCCGCTCCTATTGTGAGGCGGGGCCCTGGGGCGGCGGTGAATGGGGGGTCTGCCGAGCGGCCCGCAGGGCTGTCAGGCGGCTCAGCGTAATCAGGGCTAATGACGGTGGCCGGGCGCTCCGCGGGACAATGCGCGGGGCCGCGGGGTTTTGTCGGCCTGAATGGCTAATAGGTTTGCCTGGGGGTGTGAGGGGGGCGGTGTCGGGGGAGAGGCGGCAGCGAGGGGAAAAGGGGTCATTGTTCGCGCACTGGCCCGGGCGCCGAGGCGCGTCCCTCCCCACGCGGCGGCCCCCGGGCCGGGAGCGGCCGACTAGAAGGCCGCGGCCGGGAGGCCCCCTGGAGGCCTGCTGGGAAATGGCGGCAGGAACGGCGGGTGCGTGGGTCCCCTAGGGAGGCAGCCCTGAAAGGAAGTCGGGACGAACTTTGTTCCCTAGGAGAAGCCCATCGTGGGCCCAGAGTACCCGAGAAGGTGTGGCCCTCCTCCAGGGTTTGGATCGCGACTCCGTGAGATGACAACTCCACACACCCACCTTTTCTGTCCAGCGCCCTGGAAGCTCTCAGACGCGTAGGCCGCGAGCCACTCCTATTGTTAAGAATGCCTGACTCAAACAGCTCGAGCAGAGAAACCTCTCAAAGCCAAGGGAGACGCGGGGTTAAAAACCAAGGCCGGGGGATAACAGAGGCGCGCTCGCCGGCAGCCTCGGACGGCGCGGCGGTTCTTGCGCCTCGTGCCGGACGACGCGACGCGAGCCGCGAGGCCGCAGCGCGGGTCTGGGCCTGCGCGGGTTGCTGCCGCGCGCGTCGGGCTTGCGTGTGAGGAGGCAGCGTGCGGACGGCCGCTCGTCCCGCAGCGGTAAGCACCTTCGTGCACCGGCACCAGAGAACGGCAGTTGTCACCGCGGGCTCTCGGCGGCGCCACGCGAGTTGCCCAAGCAGGGACCGGAGGGCAGAGAGGCTCCCGATTCAGGGAGCGGGATTCTCAGGCGCTGAGGCCTCGGGAGGGCTTGGTGCGCCCCGCAGATCCGCGGGTCAGCCGTCGGGGCGGGGACCCAGAGCAGAGCGCCCTGAGAACCAAAGGCCCGCGGCCTCACGGTTAAACTCAGGCAGGACCGGGCCGCCGCCCGAGCCCCGATCTTTCCAAAAGGTGGCGGCTCCCATTTCGGCTCCTACAAATCTCCTCAGGCTAGATCATGCCTTGCAGCTCTATTTACTAGGATTTATATTCCCAGACTTCTTTAGACCTGCCCTACCGTGAGGGGTCGAACTGGTTTTCTCCCGTTGTCTGGAGACAAAAGGGTGTGAGGGCGATCCCAGAGCAGAACCAGCAGTTTCACGCCGGTGCCTCTGCTCGTGCCGTTTCCTCTTCCTTTGCGCTAACTCCGCCGCTTACCTCCGCGGCTAACCTGTCCATCTGGGAGCCTACCCCACTTCCAAAGCGTCTTTCTTGACTCAGTGGGCTCCCCACAGAGACTTTTCCACTTCCTTTTTAGTGTTCTCACCGTACCTTATCCAATGTGTGTTTTAAACATTGTAATATAGTTGTGCATTTGCCTATATGTTTGACACCCACCTCCCCCCTCCCCTCCAGCGTGTAAGCTCCTTAAGGGCAGGGACTGAATTTTATTCATCTTAATATTCCCAGGGCCTGGCCTAGTAGTAGGTGCTCAATAAATATTTTTAAACTGAAACAATGGATCTTCCTTGAAACCTGTCCCAAATTAGTGGAATATTGCTAGTTCTGAGTTCATTTGAACAGCAAAGATGACAAATACAGGCTGCACCCAAAGTTCACTTAAATACTTCAGGTTATGGGCGCCTGGGTGGCTCAGTTGGTTAAGCGACTGCCTTCGGCTCAGGTCATGATCCTGCAGTCCCGGGATCCAGGCTCGGCAGGGAGTCTACTTCTCCCTCTGACCCTCCCCCCTCTCATGTACTCTCTCT